TTTCATCCATACTGGGGTCGTGCCCTAACCATAGTATCTATATCACACTTCCCCACCTGCCTAAACCGGAAGTTTTCCTTCCTGATTGCATCGATTTGTGCATGACGGATGTCTCCGTAACCCAACCCAAGCCAATGGTGGTGCCATCCAGAGCAGTAGAGAGAATGCTCCAAAGGAAAAGGGGCTGTCGAGCCAAAAGTCTGCCAAAGTATCTCTCTCTTCCGGAGCCTTGTATAAGAAGTCTTTACCGGGCCGTATCTGAAGTATGTCCACCCCGCTAAGGTGGAAACCTTCCTCTATAAGATCCATGAAGGCATCTGCGGCAGTCATACTGGGGGCAGGTCTTTGGCTTGCCGAGGAGCAATTTCCCAAGGTTATTGGCCGTGCATGCAGGCAGACGCGCAGAAATATGTTCGCTGATAAGCAGGAGCGATAGAAGAAGTGCAATACCCTCGTTGGATATCCAACACGGTGGTAGTCCCGAAAAAGAATGGCAAGTGGCGAGTCTGCGTTGACTACAAGACAGTTAACCTTGTATGCCCAAAGGATAGCGTCCTCCTCCCTTGAATTGACCAGTTGGTGGACTTGACCGCTGGCCATCAGAGGTTTAGCTTCCTGGATGCATATCGCGGCTACCACCAGATAGCCATGTATAAATTGGACCAAGAGATCACGTCGTTCACTACTCCTAGAGGCCTGTATTGTTATAAAGTCATGCCGTTCGGACTAAAGAACGCCGGGGCAACTTTTCAGAGGATGGTGACAAAGATGTTCGCTCCTCTTTTAGGCCGAACAATGGAGGCCTACATCGACGATATGGTGGTAAAGAGTAAGGAGAAGTCTCAACACCTCACCGACCTAGCAGAAATGTTTGCCATACTTAAGCGCCACAAACTTTGTTTGAATGCCTCTAAGTGCGCCTTCGGAGTTGGCACCAGGAAGTTTCTAGGGTTTTTGGTCACAAACCGAGGGATTGAAGCTGACCTATCGCAGATCAAGGCTATACAAGAGCTGGAGCGCCCAAACTCCGCGAAGGACGTGCAACATCTTGCCGGGATGGCAGCCGCGCTGAACAGATTCATCAGCCGGTCTTCAGATCGTTGCAAGCCCTTCTTTAAAACTTTGAAGGCCAAGTTCTTTTGGGATGACGAATGTGACCGTGCACTGGCAGACTTAAAAATATACCTTTCCTCAGCCCCTATCCTAGTCACACCTCGGCCGGGCGAAGAATTGTATCTCTACTTGGCTGTCTCTCAACATGCTGTGAGCATCATCCTAGTCTGCGCTAAAGGCATCCAGCACTTGCCCATCTTCTATGTAAGCAAGACTTTGCTCCCGACCGAGACGCGGTATCTTCCGCTGGAAAAATTAGCACTGGTCCTGATGATGACATCAAGAAAGCTGACACACTATTTTCATGCCCATACAATAGTTGTGTTAACCGAGTTCCCACTTAAGGTGTTTTTTGAAAAGACAAACTTCACCGGAAGAATTTTGAAATGGGCCATGGAATTGGGGCAGTACGATATCAAATTTCGCCCGCGCACCGCAATCAAGGCTCAAGCTCTTGCAGACTTTGTGGTGGAATTCACCCCTGGAACGCATCCAGTTTGCCCGATTAATTTGGCTGGTGCGGATTTAGCACAGCCCATGGTTCTGGCAATAGAAACGAGTGTTGGCTCAAAAGCGAGGGAAGGCCGACGAGCGACCGCACTAAAGGAGCCGGGTGACTTCTTGGAAGGCGTGCTCAATTAAGGCAAGAAAAGAGACCAGAATGAACCGATCAGAGACTTGGAATTGAGAAGCTCCCAGAACCCCTCTGATTGCTGGAAGCTGTTTATTGGCGAGATGTGGAAGCTCTTCGTTGATGGGGCATCCAACAGGCATGGGGCTGGGCTGGGTATTGTACTGACTTCATCGGATGGGCTGATTATCGAGCAGGCAATTATGCTCGGCTTCCCAGCATGCAACAATAAAGCGGAGTATGAAGCCCTCCTTGTCGGACTAAGAAGCGCATTGAGAATGAAGGCGTCAGCCCTGATGGTATTCAGCGATTCCAAGCTGGTGGTCAATCAGGTCTCGGGGAAGTATGAGGCAAAGGACGAAAGAATGGCCAAGTATCAAGCGCTGGTACGCGCAGAGATCAAGAAGTTCGCTGCAATAAGGATGGAACAAATCAACCGTGAGGAAAACAACGCGGCTGATGAATTGGCCGGACTTGCTTCTGCTCAGACAGCTTTTCCTAACCCCTTGATGATAGAATTTTTACCTCGGCCAAGCATTGAGGAACCGGAAATAACCAAGGTGCTCTGCGCCGACTTGGGTCCTTCCTGGATAGACCCCATCATCGTCTTCTTGAAAGATAGAGTTCTACCGAAAGAGAAGAAGGCGGCCAACAAGATCCGGGCCAAGTTAGAACGGTTTTGGCTCTCCCCGTCCGGAGCCTTGTATAAGAAGTCTTTTACCGGGCCATATCTGAAGTGCGTTCACCCTGCTAAGGTGGAAGCCTTCTTTTATGAGATCCATGAAGGCATCTGCGGCAGCCATACTGGGGGTAGGTCACTGGCTTACAAAGCAATTTCCCAAGGTTTTGGTGGCCGTGCATGCAGACAGACGCACAGAAATACGTTCGCCGATGTGAAAAGTGCCAAAAATTTGCTCACCAGATCCACCAGCCAGCGAAAGAATTGCTCCCCCTTACAAGTCCTTGGCCGTTCGCACTCTGGGGATTGGATATAGTGGGGCCACTCCCAGCAGCCCCGGGCAATCGCAAATTCTTCATCGCCGCCACCGATTACTTCACAAAGTGGGTTGAGGCTGAGCCACTGGCGACCATAAAGGAAAAGGATGTGAAGAATCTTGTTTGGCAAAATGTTATCACTCACTTCGGTATACCCAAGGCCCTCATCTCAGATAATGGCACTCAATTCGATGGGAAACTCTTTCGCGGATTTTGCGAAGAGCTGAAGATCGAATTCTATAATTCAACGCCGGCCTATCCTCAGTCAAATGGTCAAGCAGAAGCCTCAAACAAGACCATCATGGATGGGCTGAAGAAGCGGCTTGAGAAGGCCAAGGGGAGGTGGGCTGAAGAACTCCCTAACGTACTCTGGGTGTACCACACTACGCCAAGACGGTCGACCGGAGAAACTCTGTTTGCCTTGGCCTATGGCATGGAAGCCGTTATCCCGCTGGAAATTGGCATACCAACCATCCGGTCCGAAAGCTTCCAGCCAGATTTGAACAATGAAGCAGTGGCATTAGAGCTAGACCTTGCCGAGAAAAGGAGGGAGTGGGCCCTAATCCACATAGCAGCCTATCAGCAAGAACTCTCCAAGAAATACAATAAGGCTGTGCACCCCAGGCTATTCAAGATCAGGGACTGGGTCTTAAGAAAAATGCTGGGCAACACGGTGGTCCCTGGCGAAGGAAAGCTCGGTGCAAATTGGGAAGGACCATACAAGGTGACTGGTCTCGCAGGCAAAGGGGCATACCATCTGAAAGATTTAGATGGCAAAGCTGTCCCCAGACCGTGGAATGCAGCCAACCTTAAGGTCTTTTACTTTTAAAATGTAATTGCTTTTGTTGCTTAGCTTTCTGGACCTTAAGCCTTTTGGCATTTAATGTAAGGATAACACTGCTTTTTGTAATGAAAAATAGCCCTCTTGTTGTTTTGTATCACATCTTTCTGTACAATGACACCGCGAGGATACAAGGCCACGTGGATGCCAGGGGCAAAGGGACCGACCTGAATGGGACCGGACTAATTTTCTCTCGCCGGTATAGAAGCAGACCGCACCAACAGTTGGTGTATCGTTGTCCAACAAAATGGTTGGCATATAGAACAATTCAAGGGCCGAGCTGGTTTTTTGCTCGCCCAATTGGGATGTTGGCGTCATGACCAACCTAAATGAAATATTGGTGTTTTGCCCGATATTAAGGGCGAGATGATTCTGCTCGGCTCAAACGAAATGTTGGTGTTGTCCAACAAATAATAGCCGAGCTGACTTTGCTCGGCCAAGCGATATGTTGGTGCCTTGTCCAACTTACAAGAGGCCGAGCTGACTTCGCTCGGAGAAAAGGAATGTTGGCGTTCTGTCCAACTCCATGTCGGAATATTGGTGTTTTGTCCAATTTAATGGCCGAGCTGGTTTGGCTCGGCCGAAATGAAATAACTAAGATGTCCAATTTCCTCCAGGCCCGAGATGATTTTTGCCTGCCCAAACACAAGACTTGGAGTGTTGTAAAAGCTAGAACGGCAGTGGTAATTTTTGTTCTGCCGAATGAAAATTTTTGGGTTCGTTCAAAAAAAAAAAAAAAAAAAAAACCGAGCTGAGAGCAGCCGCGAGCATTTAAATTGAAGAAGTTCTGATTTTAGCTAGGCATATTGCGCGGCCAGCCAGCCTATCAGTTATGGTACATTAAAGTTTGAATCAAGACATTTTATACGTTGCAACCAAAACAAAAAGAGAAGATCAGCGGGCAAAAAGTTCAAATTTCATTGATTGAGGAAATTGCATTACAATTGTGGGGCCCTAGCCCGGTTACATTAAACAAAGAAAGAAAAGAAACGAAAACACAGTAGGAAATAGGAGAGGGCATTTCAATCCAATTCCAGGTCAACCGTCTGCTCGGCGACTTCCAGAGTCTGCTCGGCAACCTCCGCATTGTGCTCGGGCAAGCCTTCTTCCAACTCACCATCCGCATCCTCCACCGCGACAACCTCCTGATCGACTACTTGATCTTCGACATCCTGAGATGCTTCGGGAGAAGTTTGCTCGGTTTGTTGCGCGGCGGCGGCTTCTTCTGTGGCTTCCTTTTTGGCCTCCTCTATGAGCCTCTTTTGCCCGGCGCTCGCATAGGCCTGCATATAGTGCGGTATGAAGGCCGCAGACGAATGTAGGAACATGTCAGCATCCTGACCAAGGCCAACTTTCTCCACGGCAGCTTTCTAACCGCACTGGAAAAAGATGTCCTTGGTCGCCTGCACCTGCCGTTCATACGTTTTTTCGCCTTGAGCATAACCCTTGTCTTCGGCGTCGCTAACCGCCTTATATTTCTCCTCTTTGTGGGCATCGCGCAGCTTCCTCAGCTCGGCGAGATACCGGGCTTTGGTTGACTTCACGGCCCGCTGTTTGTCCGCTTCAGCTCGGTCAACCTTTTGGCTCAGATTATCTCGTTCGGCCTCAACTGCTTCCTGCGCGGCCTTAAGCTTCGCTATCTCGGCCTTTTGGGCCTTGTTCTCAGCTATGGCATCCCGCAGGCTCTGCCGCACTGCGATCATTCGGTCGTGCGCTAAATAGTTCTTTTGCGCGGCCTGAAAACAAATGAAAGATTGTAAACGCTCAGAAAACTGAGCAAAAACCGGTCAACAACTTGCAAAAAAAAGCGTGGACCTTACCAAAACGATCAATTTTGCTGCCGATCGAAACACCTTCAGGTCGGACAGCTCGTCGTACTTCTTCATGTCGGCGGGAAGGATCAGCCCCTTGGTCATGTTAAAACCGAGGGAGTAATCCTTGTCCGCATACACTGAGTCGGCCTCAGAGACAACCCAGCCTTTGTACTTAATCTCGGGCGCCCAGACCGGGGGGGTCGTTGGGGCTTTGGATGGCCCGCTCAGTTGTTCGATCTGGTCACCCAACTCGGTGGATGCATGCTCAGTTGAATCTTCGTCGACCAGTTGTTGCCCGGTTTGGTCTTTTCTTGGTCGCTTCTTCGACCGGCCCGTTGGATGTTTGCTTGCAAGAGCCAGCACAGCCCCCTCCCTTTGCTCGGCTGGAGTAGAGGAAGTCCCCCCAGGTACCTCTAGTGGCTGGGAGTCGCTCGGTTCTCCGGTGATCATTGATTTGATTGCCCGAATTTTTTCCATTTCCTGTTCGGCGGTGAGGGGAACAAGTTTGATCGCTGGGAGACTTGGATCTGGTTCTGGAGAGGGCGCACGAAGAAAGTCAGTCACCCTGCTCTTGCGCGGTCCTATGTAGTGGTAGGTCGGTTCGAAGCCGAGGAGTTTTGGAGACTCCCTTTCCTCGACCGGATGACAAAGCAGAACTCTGATGGCCTCTTGATTAGCTCGAGACTAGTCGTCGGCCAAGGGCTTGTAATCTGCAAAAAGGAGGACAAGAGTTAGATCGGCAAGAAGAAAATCAGTGCAAAAAGAAAGTAGTGCAGTTTACTGAGCTACTCACCAGCACTGCCAAAATCTTTCCTAATATACCAGCCCGGTATGGACGCTTCGGTGTCCTCATAACAACCGAACACCCACAAGAAGTCATCGTCGTTTGTCTCCTTATCTGGGTTACCCTCTATGAATTTTGCTCGGCCCTTCTTGACCTTCAGGTACCAGCAAAACCCACCCTTATTTTTGCTAAGGCTGTATTGATGTAATATCTCGACGAGACCGAGATTGAGACCGAGCCTCCTATTCAGCTCGGCCACACCGTTTGTTATCTTGTACGTGTTGTTCGAGACTTAGGTCGAACAAAGCCTTGTCTGCCTCAAAAATTCAAGGGTTGGACAGGGAAGCGAAGCCCTCCTTCCACGATGGATACAACCGTGAAGGGGCACCGATCTAGGTCACCCCATGGGGTATCTCCCTTCTTGGCCAGCTCTAAATGGACATCGTCTGGAATGTTGTACTCCCAACAAAACTCAGCTAGTGCACCGGGCGAGCTCACCATGAACCGGTACTTCCCCATCTACCTCGGTTTTACTTATTTAGTGGTTTAATTTGTATCTCGGCGAAAAATTCTGGTGTATTTGCTCGGACTTTAAGCTCCACCAGTGAGGGTTCTAGACTGGCCTGATCGGTCCTAGTTTATTCTGCATTGTTAAAAAAAAAAAAAAATAATAATAATAATAAGCCCAAGGGTTAGCACGGCATTAATTGCACGGCTGATATTGGAACTCTTAGCTCGGGGAATGGTTTTTTGGGATTTTGGACGGTCTGACCCCTATCGCGGCTCGACTGCACGGCTGATTCAGCCTTCATGGTTTGGTTCTTACTCTATTCTTGGCTAGGTCAAGGCCCAAGAAGAAGACTCGGACAAGTTTTGGCTCGGTTCAATCATATTTACCGATCTAATTAAGTCTTCAGCTCAGTCAAGGCCCCGAGAAGAAGCCACAAACCAGTTTTTGCTCGGTTGAAGCTCCACTTACGGATCTAAATGAGCATTTAGCTTGGTTCTATCCAGATTCAAACTGTTCATCCCAGAAATGGGGCTCGTTCGTTCGAACCAAGGGAACGAGGGCCCCTTCCATTCCTACAATTTCCATTTGCGCTAAGGTGTACAAGTTCTACGCATAAGAGGGAACGTCGATAGTCCCAAGCAAAGAACATGAAGAACAATAGCACAAAAATGAAGAACAGGTCTGAAGAACTGGAAAATGAAAACTGAAAACACAATGGGGGAGTGGGGAAACTCACCGCAACCCGATGACGAGCGGGGCCTGACTCCACAAGCCTGTAAGCAGCTTCAGAAGTAACAGAAACGATGGGTGAAGCAAGAGGCAGCGACGGCGGTGAAGGAAATGGAGTTTTTAGAGTTAGGGTTTTGGCTCAAGGAGAAGATGAATAGTGAGGGAGAAGTGACCCTTCGTGTAAGTGTTTAAGGAAGTGGGAAAAACCAAACAGCTGCGCCGTTTGAATTTCGCGCATGAAAAGACAGCTTTGGGGCCACACGGGGCCAATGGGATAAAGCCACGTGGCATCGAAAGGACGGCTGCCAGTACGGTTGTACGGCCCTCGACGAGACCGCCGAAGCAGTGACCGACCAAATGGGATAGCTCGGTAACGGTTTCCAAACCAATCACGCTCGGCTTGGTACTGGCGCAGCTTAGGGACCGTTAGCTCGGTCATGGTGGTAACCCCAATCACGATTAGCTCGGATGGGATTAAGGGGCAATTGAGAGGGGAGATTTGCACCGGACAGTACGGCCGAGCTACGGTAACGCAGGTGTGGCAAGCCTCTCAGTGCCGAACTATCTTCTCAATCGGCACGGCCCTTCGGCTTGTTTTACACGGTCGAGCTAGGTTTGCCGACCAGGCATGCTCTAAGGCCTGGTCGAGCTGTGGCTGTTAGGCGTTCGGCGGTAGGCGCGCGTTAGCACGGTGCGGCCGAGCAGATGACAGTCTGGAAAGAGTCTAGGTCGGGAAGAGGTCGGCGTGCGCCCGATAGCTCGGCGGATCGGTCGTGTTCTTTGTGGTTGTGATTTTCTCCCAAGGAATAGGCCGGTCTTGGTATGCCGGTCGGGTGTGTCACTTGAGCCAATGGCGTGAGGGAGAGGATATCTGCTCCAGGCACGCGTCAGTACCGTTTGGCAGTCTTACATGTACTGGATGAAGGATTTGGCCTTTACATGTGTAAGGTGGTGGGAGGCGAGCGCAACCAACTGTCCAGGGAAGGACAACAGAGGTAGTGTGCACACAATCTTGAGGCTGCATGGCCAGCCTAGAAAAAGGAAGGGAGGATGAACGTTGGTGGTAAGTAACTTGCGCTATCTGAAACACTCTCTCTTTCTCTCTCGAATAGCCTCCTTCTTCCTCAAGTGATCTGACTTGATCGTC